CGCAAGCGAAGAACAATGTTGCCTCCAACTCTATTTTTCTTGCCTGACAGACTACTACAGAGTTTGCCAATGTTAGCTATTTAGTTACGAAGCTGGGACAGTTTTCATCGGTAGAAACAGGACAAAACAAGCAACTTGTAGCTGGCTGTATCACTGCAACTCAATATCGTATGAGCTCCACTGCGCGGGCATCTACCCTAACACGACAGCTAAACTGTCAAATAATAGAAAACAAAGCAATGTATAGCCTATGAATATCTGTACCTAGCAAACATTACAAACCATGACCTAAACAGATAAACACAAATTACTCTAATCTCCATTCCGGTGGCTAGTTAGCTGGTTGTCTGTGAGCCTAGCTAGTGAAAGTGACAGTTGAGGTTGACGCTTGGCAAACGCAGCCCAAATTTACCGCCACACACATTTCTTACTTTGCAGATTAGCTAGCTAGCTATAGCAATCAGCTTGGTACATTACCATAGGAATTACATTAGTAGAAACAAGACAAAACAACCAACTAGTTAGCTGACTATATACAGCTAAACACTGCAACTATTTCCATGAGACAGAGAGCAATCCTGCTCCACCACTGATGTGCTCGCCTGTAGGCAACCAAGTGATCATGACAGGATTTTCTAATCTGGTTGCTTTTCCCAAAATTTCACAGCATCAAACTTCAACAACACCGTTTAAAAAGTGCAAGGAGGACATGTCCAAATCGTATCACCAACCAAAATACACTACATGACCAAAGATATGTGGACACCTTCTCATCGAACATCTCATTCCAAAATCATGGGCATTAATATGGAGTTTGTCCCCCCTTTGCTGCTATAACAGACTCCACTCTTCTGGGAAGGCTTTCCACTAGATGTTGGAACATTGCTGCGGGAACATGCTTCCATTCAGCCACAAGAGCATTAGTGAGGTCAGGCACTGATGTTGAGTGATTAGGCCTGGCTCGCAGTCGGCATTCCAATTCATCCTAAAGGTACTCGATGGGGTTGAGGTCAGGGCTCTGTGCAGGCCAGACAACTTCCACACCGATCTCGACAAACTTCTTCTGTATGGACCTCGCTTTGTGCACGGGGCATTGTTATGCTGAAACAGTAAAAGGCCTTCCCCAAACTGTTGCCACAAAGTTGGAAGCACATAATCGTCTTGAATGTCATTGTATGCTGTAGCGTTAAGATTTCTCTTCACTGGAACTAAGGGGCCTAGCACGAACCATAAAAAACAGCCCCAGACCATTATTCCTCCTCCACCAAACTTTACAGTTGGCACTATGCATTGGGGCAGGTAGCGTTCTGCTGGCATCCGCCAAACCCAGATTAATCTGTCGGACTGCCAGATGGTGAAGCGTGATCCATCACTCAAGAGAACGCGTTTCTACTGCTCCAGTCCAATGGCTGCGAGCTTTACACCACTCCAGCCGATGCTTGGCATTGCGCATGGTGATCTTAGTCTTGTGTGCGGATGCTTGGCCATGGAAACCCATTTTATGAAGATCCTAATGAACAATTATTGTATGTTGCTTCATGAGGCAGTTTGGAACTCGGTAGTAAGTGTTGCAACTGAGGACAGATGATTTTTTCTCGCTACGCGCTTCAGCACTCGGCGGTCCCGTTCTGTGAGCTTGTGTGGCCTACCACTTCGTGGCTGAGCCGTTGTTGCTCCTAGATGTTTCCACTTCACAATACCAAAACATACAGTTGACCGGGGCAGCTCTAGCAGGGCAGAAATTTGACGAATTGACTTGTTGGAAAAGTGGCATCCTATGATGGTGTCACGTTGAAAGTCACTGAGCTCTTCGGTAAGGCCATTCTATTGCCAATGTTTGTCTATGGAGACTGCATGGTTGTGTGCTCGATTTTATACACCTGTCAGCAACGGGTGTGGCTGAAATAGCCAAATCCACTAATTGGAAGGGTATACAGTGCATTCGGACAGTATTCAGACCCCTTGACTTTTTCCACATTTTGTTACGGATGGATCAACAAAAAAAAAAACATTCCTCATCAATCTAAACACAATATACCAAAATGACAAAGCAAAAACAGGTTTAGAATTTTTTGCAAATTTGTTACAAATAAAAAACTGAAATACCTTATTTACATAAGTATTCAGACTCTTTGCTATGAGACTCGAAATTGAGCTCAGGTGCATCCTGTTTCCATTGATCATCCTTGAGATGTTTCTACAACTTGATTGGAGTCCACCTGTGGTAAATTAAATTGATTGGACATGATTGGTCCCACAGTTGACAGTGCATGTCAGAGTAAAAACCAAGCCATTAGGTCAAAGGAATTGTCCGTAGGGCTCCGAGACAGGATTGTGTCCTCCATCATTCTTAAATGGAAGAAGTTTGGAATCACAAAGACTCTTCCTAGACCTGGCCACCCGGCCAAACTGGGGAGAAGGGCCTTGGTCAGGGAGGTGACCAAGAATCCGATGGTCACTCTGACAGAGCTCCAGAGTTCTTCTGTGGAGATGGGAGAACCTTCCAGAAGGACAACCATCTCTGCAGCACTCCAATCAGGCCTTTATGGTAGAGTGGCCAGACGGAAGCCACTCCTCAGTAAAAGGCACATGACAGCCCACTTGGAGTTTGCCAAAAGGCACCTAAAGACTCTCTGAGAAACAAGATTATCTGGTCTAATGAAACCAAGATTGAACTCTTTGGCCTGAAGGCCAAGCGCCACGTCTGGAGGAAACCTTGCACCATCCCTACGGTGAATCATTGTGGTGGCAGCGTCATGCTGTGGGGATGTTTTTCAGAGGCAGGGAGACTAGTCAGGATCGAGGGAAAGATGAACGGAGCAAAGTACAGAGAGATCCTTGATGAAAACCTGCTTCAGAGCGCTCAGGACCTCAGACTGGGGCGAAGGTTCACCTTCCAACAGGACAACGACCCTAAGCACACAGTGAAGACAACGCAGGAGTGGCTTCGGGACAAGTCTCTGAATGTCCTTGAGTGGCCCAGCCAGAGCCCGGACTTGAACCCGATCTAATATCTTTGGAGAGACCTGAAAATAGCTGTGCAGCGACGCTCCCCATCCAACCTGACAGAGCTTGAGAGGATCTAAAGAGATGAATGGGAGAAACTCCCCAAATACAGGTGTGCCAAGCTTGTAGCGTCATACATAAAAAACTATTGAATCCATTTTAGAATAAGGCTGTAACGAAACAAAACGAGGAAAAAGTCAAGGGGTCTGAAAAGTCGTGGCCTCTTCGGGGCCGTCATTTAGAGTAAGTCGCTCTGGATAAGAGCGTCTGCTAAATGACTAAAATGTAATGTAAATGTAATGAAGTTATTTTTCTTTTAAAGGTCGAATGACAGCATACCGTTTCCGGTTGATAACAACAGCCACGCGAATACGACAACAGTTTGTTAGAAAGTTCATGTGACATATGGAATTATCCTTGAAATAGAAGCCAGGTGTGTGCTGATTTACAATGATTATGGCCTGAGGCCGAAACTTCTTTGTTTTCAACTTTGAGTTATGCACTTTCTTGCATTTTGATTTTTTGGGGACTATGATGTTTTAATAAACATTTATTTTGCATTTAAGCTTCAGTTTTGGATTTATTCCTTTTTTCGACAGCATGTGGTCTTTTCCAATATTCTTATTTTGACTCCTATGGACCTGGAACAGACTATTCAGTAGTAAGGGCCTTAAAAGAGCACAGATGGCCTCTTATCATTCATATACATTGTTTGAAAGGTGGATATAATTTCCTCTGAATACCAGAACAAAACAAACAAATCAAAACATTGTCTGTAAAACCCATGTATTGCATGTTTGTCATGTGAACTAATGACAGGCACATTTGTTCTCTGAACTGATGCATACAAAGGGACATTTTCCAATCAAATATTCTGTAAAACATAAGGTCCATTATGTAAGTGATCAAGATGCAGTTTGTTGGAATCAGATGTATGATTATTATAAAATGTAAATCATGATTGACTTTTGCACTGATGGGTACCTTCATTGAACATCAGCCTTTCATGTACTATTTAGCGCCATCTACTGGTTGACAAGGGCATTGCTAAAACATGGGTTACGGGACAGTCTATGGTTACTCCAATGGTTTATGAAATGAGTGTAACGTCTGTAATATTGCGTGATCCCTTTCACCCCTGAAGAACATCAATTATGATTAAAAGTGAAACTATTCCAAATGCCTTCTTAATCAGTAAAATTAGTTGAAGAAACACCTTTTGGAGTTAACATTATTGTTGTAGTTAATCTAACAAGGGCCCTTACACGTGTTTGTTTTTCATGATCGTGTTTTGTAAGTTACTTTTCTTCAATTGCTTGCAAAAAGTATTTCATTGCGTTAGAATTGTAAATATTGTGAATTTGTATGATTGTGTGCATGGCTCCCTTGTAAAAGAGGCCTTGGTCTCAATGGGATTTCCCTGTTTAAAGAGATTCTCCCGTACTTTTTAACCAGTAGTTCTAAATGTTGAACTCATGAACAAAAATTGGTCCCCGGAAACATCATACTACATCACATATATGCACCACGTCATTGCTCTCTCTCACTCGGCTGTGTGTGCATCTTGCCAGCCGTCACTCAAATGGCGAGGAGCTGAAGCTCATTGGCTAGAACTCATATTGCTAGGGGGCTGGCCCACATGAGGAAAATGGCGCAGCACAGTTTAGTAGTCACCAAAGTTCCGGAGCATGTCTTTAAAAATACATTTAAAGAAATACCAAAAATTAATCTTACAGACATTCTGAAATAATTGTTCTGCTTTGAGTCCATAATATCCAGCATAAAGTCAGTCAGCCATTACCACTATCACCAGGGTAATTGAATACACAGCCACTAAAAGCACTTCTTTAGTGACATACATGAGACTTGTCTGCTATTGCAGCCATAGAACACATTCAATAAAGCAGTAGACATAACAAAATGGTAAAAGCTATCTTGGACCAATCCAAAACAGAGCCAGGTCTAAATAAGTTCAACAAAAGACAGTGGGAGATGCATGGACAAAATGGTTTTTAATTACATTTTAAAAAATACATAGCACTCTTCTTTTTCTAGACCTATCTCTCTCCGTCCGTCGAGCGATCTCATAACGTATTCTTCAAAGGTTTTTAAAACAATGACGATATTTTACAAATCAAACGAAAATATGCGTGCGGTTTTCTCTACTGGGGCTATGGTTTCTGGATTGTACTGATCTGGATGTGATGGTCTAGCTCTACTCTGTCAGACGACCCAAACCCAGGCTTGGGGTACCGCTACCTCGACAACATGGCAGGGGAAGGGTGGTTGGGTCAGTCTTAGTACAACGCCTCAGCATTACTGCTCCTAGGCTTCTTTATCTTGTCAATGTTCTTCAAGATCATGTCGTGTAACGTTACCTGTAGCAGAGCAGAGTTCAGGATTAGAACGCAATGTGTTAACTTGTGGGTAGAAACGGATGGTGAGGAAAACTATTCCTGTGTATAACAGAACATTTGACTCACGTATTGATTTCTCAGCTCTGAAACTATGATCTTGAGGCTGATGTATTCTTTCTCATCAATCTCTGTCACTGTGCGCCGGTAGTCCTCCTGTTTAGTGAAAGAGAGAGATAAGGTAAATAGTCATGTAGTTGCAGGTAAAAGAATGCATTCTACGGTTCATACCGTCATTTTGCCCTCAGTAAATGCCCACTGTGTAGATAGGTTTCTGTCTGGAAGAAGCCTGCTAACCAGACCTACAGTTAGCAATCACACTTACCACATGTGGGTATTTTGCTATTTTGGATACCAGCTTTGCTCTTGTGATGTAGTATCTATGGGTAGATAGGAAATAAGATGTTCATATTGTCTACTAGTAAGAGTACTCAGTGTAAACAAAGTAAAGACTGGGTTGAGGTTAGTACCTGGATATCTGGTCGAGGTAAGATGCTGCCTCCCCCTCCACTGTTCGGAGTTCAGCTACTGTCTCCTCCTGCAGAGGCCAAATCAGTAATTGAGTAATGGTTCAATTTAGCTATACACTTAGATGAGACCTTAGGTACAGACAGCAATAACACTTTACCTGTTAATACATATAAAGTAAACGTGGCACCTGAATTGAAACCCCGAAGTTGTTGCCATCTTCTATTCGTGGGATAAGCAACTGAACCCACATTTTGACCTGAAGAACAAGAAAGACTGATTATTAGATCATGGGTGATAAGTAATGAGTGACATGAGCACCCACCGAAATAGATTAAGGAAGAAACTGTGTGGGATAAAGCTATGTACCGTGTTACATTTCTCAATCAGTGTCCTGATCTCTGGCTTGACCTTCTCGATCAGGTCCACCAGCTTGGCGTTACTCTTCATCATCCCACCGGGCATGACAAAGACCTTGGTGCCAGCCACTGTAGAAGGGGAAGAGAAGATGAACAAGAGAACAGAGCTCTTACCTCTGTGGACTTGACCATAGGTGCATGACCAATGGAGCAAACGGAGAAGCTGCACCCCCACTTTCAAAATAGGGGTGCAAACTTGTGTTTTTGCATCCCCACTTTTTTACTAGAAAATGATCATGATCCATTGGGTAACTTGTCATTTTCAATGATTAGTAATGTTTTGAGCTAGTCTGTATTAAAATAGATATGTCATTTCTATATACAGTGAGGGAAAAAGGTATTTGATCCCCTGCTGATTTTGTACGTTTGCCCACTGACAAAGACATGATCAGTCTATAATTTTAATGGTAGGTTTATTTGAACAGTGAGAGACAGAATAACAACAACAAAATCCTGAAAAACGCATGTCATAAATATTATAAATTGATTTGCATTTTAATGAGGGAAATAAGTATTTGACCTCCTCTCAATCAGAATGATTTCTGGCTCCCACGTGTCTTTTATACAGGTAACGAGCTGAGATTAGGAGCACACTCTTAAAGGGAGTGCTCCTAATCTCAGCTTGTTACCTGTATAAAAGACACCTGTCCACAGAAGCAATCAATCAATCAGATTCCAAACTCTCCACCATGGCCAAGACCAAAGAGCTCTCCAAGGATGTCAGGGACAAGATTGTAGACCTACACAAGGCTGGAATGGGCTACAACACCATCGCCAAGCAGCTTGGTGAGAAGGTGACAACAGTTGGTACGATTATTCACAAATGGAAGAAACACAAAATAACTGTCAATCTCCCTCGGCCTGGGGCTCCATGCAAGATCTCACCTCGTGGAGTTGCAATGATCATGAGAACAGTGAGGAATCAGCCCAGAACTACGCGGGAGGATCTTGTTAATGATCTCAAGGCAACTGGGACCATAGTCACCAAGAAAACAATTGGTAACACACTACGCCGTGAAAGCTGAAATCCTGCAGCGCCCGCTAGGTCCCCCTGCTCAAGAAAGCATATATACAGGCCCGTCTGAAGTTTGCCAATGAACATCTGAATGATTCATAGGAGAACTGGGTGAAAGTGTTGTGGTCAGATGAGACCAAAATCAAGCTCTTTGGCATCAACTCAACTCGTCGTGTTTGGAGGAGGAGGAATGCTGCCTATGACCCCAAGAACATCATCCCCACCGTCAAACATGGAGGTGGAAACATTATGCTTTGGGGGTGTTTTTCTGCTAAGGGGACAGGACAACTTCACCGCATCAAAGGGACGATGGACGGGGCCATGTACCGTCAAATCTTGGGTTAGAACCTCCTTCCCTCAGCCAGGGCATTGAAAATGGGTCGTGGATGGGTATTCCAGCATGACAATGACCCAAAACACACAGCCAAGGCAACAAAGAAGGCAACAAATGAGTGGCTCAAGAAGAAGCACATTAAGGTCCTGGAGTGGCCTAGCCAGTCTCCAGACCTTAATCCCATAGAAAATCTGTGGAGGGAGCTGAAGGTTCGAGTTGCCAAACGTCAGCCTCGAAACCTTAATGACTTGGAGAAGATCTGCAAAGAGGAGTGGAACAAAATCCAAATCAATTTCTACAATTTTTTACATGCGTTTTCTGGATTTTTTGGTTGTTATTCTGTCTCTCACTGTTCAAATAAACCTACCATTAAAATTATAGACTGATCATGTCTTTGTCAGTGGGAAAATGTACAAAATCAGCAGGGGATGAAATACTTTTTTCCCTCACTGTAGGCTGTTTGTAATAGGTGAATTAACCTATTACAAACAGCCTATCTATCTTGTAGCCTACAGCCTATTCATTGCCAAAATGGCCTTGCTTTAGTGTGTAGGGCCCTGTCCATTGTGCTGATACAGCGCAGCGGAGATGGGCTACAGTATTCGCGCCAACCTGTCACTTCAAAAGCACTCAATGGTCTCTGAGTCTCAGCAATTGAACTTTATGTTTGTGATATAGTGTGATATAAGCAGAATTCAATATAAATTCCAATGCAAGAACCCCCAAAAAAATTTGCCCCCTAACCGATTTCAACTGCCCCCTTAGTCACTTTATCCTGCGCAGGGTCCTTTTGCTTGGCTTGATAAGTAATATCAACCAAATAAGCCATTCTACCCTCTCTGCATCAAATATGTATGCTGCTGAGACAAGTTAATATAAAATAATAAACATTGTGACAGTGCTTCAAACAGCACCAAAAAAAGTCAAGACAGCCCCCCCCCCCCTCCCCCAAGCTTTTGCACCCCCACTTTCAGACAAAGCCAGGCACCCATGGACTAGGCTTTTCCTAACAAAAACTAAACACCAGAAGAAAACTCACACAGTGTGGGGAAAATATGGGTGAATTACTCACCCTTGTCCTCCCCAGAGCCATCTTCCATCTTCCTCTTTTTGGCATTTTGCTGTGAAGAGGATATCAAGTTGTTTACAATGGACACATGCAATCAGATGACATTTGGTCATTACAGGGTGTTAAATTCCATTCCAAGTCTCACCGCTTCAAGTCCGTCATGCAGGTTTGAGAGTAGAATGGGGTCTGGCACCGTCAAGTTGATTTCTGAGTGTATTTCCTTCAGTTCACATATGTTTAAGACGGGATCCTGCAAAAGATGACCAACAACACATACACACTCTATAAAGGGAAGTCGGAGGACATTTGACTAATCATTTCATTTTGTTGACATAAATAAGTTTACCTTGAGGAAATGGTCGAGTTCCAATAACTTATTTGGGAAAAAACTTGCAACTAGCTCCTCCGCCTATGAAACAAAGAGTTTATTTGGGAAATGACATTCAGATCTAGATACAGGTAGCTAGGTACAATATTTGCTTTTGTCCCTCAATGAATAAACTGAAAGGAAACTCACCTCCCCAGTAATTCGTTCTCTGAAAGCATCGACCTGCACAAATACAACCACCAAACAACTGTCATATCACAGGCAAAATAATCAGCAGGCCTGTTTGAATACAACAAGTGAGTAGGATTCGAGTAGACTACTGTCTGAAAGATGATGCCAGTCATCAGTTCATCAACGTCACTTCAACATGCTTACTCTACTGGCTAGGCCTAAAAATTGTGCCGAATTGAGTTACCGGTACCTCGACACCGTTAGCTAGCTACCAATACACGCCCTTTATGAAACATGCGGCACAGCAACCCTTTTGTTCAGGGAGGTGCACCCTGTTGTTAGACAGTTTGCCTTGTCCGCTATGACGGGCACAGGAAGATAAAGCAAGTTACCTTTAACACTTGGCCTCATTCTGATTCATATTATTGCAAGCTAGGTCACGTTAGCATTACATTAGCTAGTTAGCTAACAAGCAACTTTCCCCCATGATGTCTCGTGACATGTGGCGTTGATAAATCACGTTTTACCTTCGTTTTGAGTTCATTGTCCACCTTGAGGAGAGAATTCATCTTCTTTAACAACAAATGGAAAAAGTACGACTGTCCTCACTACATTCAATTCGGGGCTAAACGTGTGGTTTTCCCACTCCTGTCAGCCACACTTGTGAGCTTAAAAATGACGTATTCAACATGCGACAACATGACAAATGAATACGCATGCGCACTATTCATGCATGAACGCGTCATCGTATTTTCCTAAACGCAGCTGAGGATGTAAACAAGAGGATTGGCGAGTGCGAGAGCTCGTTTTGTCCACTAGTATCTTCAATGATTGTCCTTATTTAATCGCAAAAAGCAGCCATGGGGCTCCCTGTTACTATTAAAGTGAATTTCAGGGGGAATGTAAAGAGATTTGTGGCTCCAGATTTGGACAAGTCAGAATGGGAGTCGGTGGAAGCCTGGGTAAGTAGCGCTGGCGCAGTTTAGTTAGCCTGGATTCTTCTAGGCTCGAGCATAGCAGGCCTAACCATGGCCTAGCTAGCACAACATTGGACCACTTGAATGACATTTGTCTGCAAATTATCTTTCTAACAACAAATCAAGTTATTATTATATGTGATGTTATCCTGTTAAGCTGATCCTCAATCATCAAGCTTTTTTAATTGAATCTGCAGATAAAAGCATCATTTGGAATAAGCCATTTTCAAGTGAAATATTTTGATGAGGACAATGAGGAGGTGAGATAAGTATTTTGTACTACTGTGTATTATTTCAACGAATGCAGTGCCAACATTTCTGATGTACAACAACAGTAGTAATAATAACACACAAGCGATACATTAGCTTATATTTGTCCTCTTACACACAAGTGTAACTCCCCAGAGAGTGGGGTCACGGCCAGGGTCGCAATGCATTGTACAGCGCCCGTGTCTGCTCCGGTATTAAAAACAGACTACCTGCCTCCCCAACCAGACAACCTGCCTCCCCAATATTAACAATAGTTTATTATTTAGTATACAACTGAAGACATTATGTAACACTAATTGTTTCTGTATCTCCTTTTTCTTTGTTCCAGGTTTCCATCAATAGCCAAGGTATGCAAATAAAGTGTTAACTTAATAGGCTTTCTTTATTGTGACTGTTATTAAAGCTTTACAGTTCATAATCTTCACCAACACAAACGTATTCTCTGATCTGTTTTGCTTGTCTATGTTTCAGAGGAATATGAGGAGGGTGTGAAGGTATTCAAACTTACATGTTCTTTCATGGATTTCAATGGCTAAGAAAATACATTCTATGAACCTGCTGTATGTAATTACTGAAAGTGCCAGTGGCATGTGGTGTATGTATTTCCTCCAGAGTGCAGAGAAGCAGGGGAACCAGTTGCACATGAACGTTTACAAGGCGAAGCAGGGTCAGGCTGGCACTGGGCCGGTCAAAACCCAAGAAGTGAAGGAGCTGAAGGGGGACCTCCGGCCAGCCCCTCCGTACCCCTCCAGGGTCAAGACTGTGGACAAAGGCACACAGGTCACCCCCGAGAGAGATGCTGTAAGAGCACCACACACAGCTTTCAATGTTGATGCAATGTTGATGCAATGTTGTCTGAATGTAAGAAAAGTGTTATACGTGTCAGGATGGTGTATTCGTTCTCTATAATTGTTCTCTTCATGAAATGTGACAATGTAATAATAAAACTAGAGCTAAGATTTGATGAACACACAATTTGGTTTCATAGTATGAATTTGATTAATCCTAATGAGTTTAATGTCAATCATTTGATTTTATAGGTGGTTGTGAAGGACAACAAAGTGACTAAGCCAGAGGATAAGCTTCCCCCAGCTTGGTTCAGATCTTACATGGAAAAAGTAAGTCCATATTGAAATGATATTCTTTACTATTTCTTTATATTTCAGAAATATGAAGAAAAAAGTCCCTAAAAATCTACTTTTTTACTTAAGAACCCTTTTCACTGGATCCCTCTCTCCTGTCAGTTCAAGGATGAGGTGGTGAAGGAGGTAGTGGAGAGGATGTGTAATGACTTCTCTGGCCAGTGCTGCACCCACAAGGCCCCTGACCCTGATGGGCCCCTCGAGGCCCTTGGAGCAGTGGGCAGAGTCAATATCAAAGGCACAAAGGTGAACTCCTCCTCCACCGGCCCCCCTGCCTACTCCTCATTGGGCTACACTCCAGACTGCAGCAAATGCAAGAGACCAGCCACTGATGGAGCTTATAAGTGCAGGTAAACACAGCACAACAATAACAGATCAATATTATTATGTTACTAATGAGTAACTCAGAAGTTGAAATAATATAAAATGTTTATTTTACTTATTCCTCATGAAATATGTCACTATCAATTAGTAATATGGTCCTCTGTAGCTCAGCTGGTAGAGCATGGCGCTTGTAACGCCAAGGTAGTGGGTTCGATCCCCGGGACCACCCATACACAAAAATGTATGCACGCATGACTGTATGTCGCTTTGGATAAAAGCGTCTGCTAAATGGCATATTATTATTATTTATAATATAAGTAACCTTGCCCTTACCTTCTATTTGGTGTCCTGTTTTTCTCCAGTGTGTGTCCGTCCTGCATCTTATGTGAGCTGTGTCGACACAGCCACGACCCCAGCCACAACCTGGTGAGAACCAAGACGCCCCTCTCCATCCCTGAGCATGGGATGTCAGGAGAATTAAGGTTAGTCTGCTGGATGTAGAATCCTGCCTTTACTGTGATGTTGTCTATGCGTTACTTTACCTATTTTACTTTCTTGTGTTGTCAGGAGATGCTCAGCTTTCACACCTCTCTCTCTATATTTTGTTTGTACCCAGGTTTCCAAGGCGAGGAGACAGGACCGTGCGCAAGGCTGAGCGTCAGCGCCTCAAAGCCGAGAGGAGGCAGCTCAAAGCCGAGGTGAAGGAGATTAAGAAGAAGCTGAGGCTGGAGAAGAGGGGCCTCCAATGGAGCAGCCTAGCCTCTACGTCAGCCAGATCCAACATGGCCACCACACAGGCTCCAGCCCTGGCCCCTGCTGCAACCCAGGCCCCAGAACCAGGCCCTTCCCCAGACCCCCAGGCCTCCAGTCCAGAGTAAGCGCCACCCCGGGAGGGCGTCAGAGTGCTGGGTGTTTCTAGGCCCAGCATGGAGCAAAAATCAAATATTTTCTCAAGAAATAGCCCATCTTTGTAATAGTTGTAATAGAGTTTATCGCTGGTGGATGATGGAACTACCTCACGTGTGAATCTGATGCTGCTGCTTCATATATTTCTAAACAAAAAATTACTTTGAGCTGCAAAAAGGATCTTGCTTTTTTGATGATTCATAAAAAAGAGGGATGGGTCTGAAGCCAGGGCTATTTTCAACAATGCTCTGTACACTTGAAACACTAGGGGTCCCGAGGTCTCCTACACCACCTTGGTGCCCACTATGGCTGCCTTGTTTCTGGATGAAAATCTGCCCGACGGGACCCGCCGAGAGCCCGGCACCAAGTTCTTCAAGTATTGGAAGATGAAGAACTCGGGCATCATCAACTGGACCTCAGAGACCAAGGTACTCCCCAAGCGGACCGATCTCAGTCCCGAACCCAAATACTAGAACTATCTCAATCCCTAACCGGAATACTACAACTATCTCATTCCATAACTGGAATACTACAACTATCTCATTCCCTAACCCGAATACTAGAACTAACCCCACCTAATTGTAACTATTGATTACATGTGATTAGTACTTACCCTGTCTGATTAACCAGACCAGTGCTACAGCCTTTTGTGAATTCAGTGTAAGTTCTCTGTTTAAGTGTTGGTGTTTTGGTCCATGGGTTTGTGTCAATGTATGTGCGTCTTCTTTGCATGCCTGTGTCTTTGTGTGTGTGTGTGTGTGTGTGTGTGTGTGTGTGTGTCCTTAGCTGAAGTGCATGTGGGGTAACCTTGCACTGGCATCGGAGGAGAAGCACGAGGTGGCCGTGCCCCTGCTGCAGCCGGGCCAGGTGGGCGTGGTCAGTGTGGCCTTCATTGCCCCGGTGATGGAGGGCACCTACACCTCCCACTGGCGCCTGTCGCATTGCGGAGAGCAGTTTGGCCCTCGCGTGTGGTGCAGCATTGTGGTGGCCCACAGCACCAGCCCACACGCCCACTGTCCTCAGAACAAACGCCTGGCAAGTCAACCACCTCTGTGTCCCATTCACATTTGTTTACCCAGTACATACACTAGTGCAGGGACGGATTTACTAAGCAAATTTGAAGCAGGTACAAAGCAATAATATTTACTTAGCTAATGCAGACACTTTTATATAGGGCTGGACTAACGAAGCATTTACATCAGGTAAAATGTTCAGGAATAAAACTTCAAAATCCACCACTATTAGTATCATTATATCATCCCAAGCATTGCTCATGTTCGTACATTCTCCTGCACTGTGCTTCAGAAGGAGGAGCCCAGGCCTGTGGTTGTGGAGGGGATGTCGAGTAGCAGCTCCAGCGACAGTGGTCTGGCCATGTCTGTAGACTACTGCCACAGAGACTACTACTTCTCCTCTGTAGACCTGCTCACTGCACAGGTGAAGAAAGGCTTAGGTGAAGGCAGTGTATGTTGGCTTTGCCATAAAGGTAGACTTGGTAGTATGACATCATCATACACCATGGGGCAACTTCATGCTTTATTCAATGACTCAACAATATTTGTGCTTTGGTTTTTTGTATGTTTTTTTTAATAGGATCTGTTGTCCTTTGAATTGCTGGATATTAACATTGTGCAAGAGTTGGAGAAAGTTCCAAACAACACTCCAGTCGGTAAGAAATAATGATACCACCACAATGCATGTCAAGATTATTTGGTGGGCATTTTTCTGATATTCAGAGAGTTTCAAGACATAATGCTTGTGTCAAACTGAGATGAGTTTATTTTTGTTTCATTGGTAGATCTTCCAGGTATATCCCCTCTGCCCCACAATGGCCCGCTACTGGAGAACCCAGGCCCTGACCTGGTCAAAGACAACACTGAGGTCAACAACCTGCTAGGTAAGACAGAGGGCAGAGGTGAATGTCGTGGTCTTTCACCATACTGCTTTATACAGTAAATAAGTTAAAACAATATATATCAAATTGTGAGATGTTTTGTTGTGTTAACTAAGGGATATGTCAGCTTGAGTAAAATAAGTTGAGAGAAAAAAGCTTTGATCACAGTGATGACCCTGTATCAGACACAGCCCTAATCTTTGTATTGTGTGTTGGGGTCAGGAGTGAAGGGGGAGAACTCGGACCCCCCTGGCCACGAGGAGGGGGACATCAGCGGGACCCAGTTTGTGTGTGAGACTGTGATCCGCTCCCTCACCCTCGAGGAGGCTCCTGACCACAAGCCCCCCCGCAGACATCAGCCCAGCTACTGCAAGCCCAAAGGTGAGGCGGCCATCTTGTTTAGTTGAATTTCCCAACAAAATGGGAAAACATGCAAACATCACTAAGTGACAATGATATGAGACTCAGTTGAACAATAAATGATGGTTGTTCTGTGCACTCACTATCTGTGGTATTTGTTATCTGACCGTCATAACGCCAGGGTTGTGGGTTCGATTCCCACGGTGAACCAGTATGAAAATGTATGCACTCACTACTGTAAGTCGCTCTGGATAAGAGTGTCTGCTAAATAACTAAATAGTCTAAATTGAAGTTAAAAACTAAAGTTGTTTTTGAAGCTGTAGCCCCGGGACCCGTCTTTGACTATGAGAGGAAAGTACTTGACGCAGCAGTAAGAGGGGCAGGACCAGATGTGCTGATGATGGGGGTTATGAGAGGTCAAGGTTCACCTCCAGGCCTTCCCCAGATCACACTGTCAGAGGAGGAGACTGTCACAGGTAAGGAACAACTCTTACTGCAGCCTGTCTGCTTCTGTTTACAGACTCGCTAGTAACTTCAAGTCAAAACGCACCAAGTAATGTTCTCACCTTTTACACATTGGCAATTGTAAATTAGCACAAGCCATGATTACGAGACATAATCAGAAAGTGGTTGGTTGGTTAATGGATATTTGTTCTCAATGCATTGTCCTCAGAGGTGCTTCTGGCTCCAGAGGTTGAAAATGTGTACATGGAGCTGTATGCAATGAAGGAGGAGGACAAGGATGACTACAAAGCCAGAAAGGATGTGAAGGACGAGAAAGCGGAGGATAAAGAAGATGAAAAGGATGAGAACTACGTTGAGATTGAAGAGGAGGAAGAAGAAGAGACCGCAGACTGGGACGAGGTGAGCAGCCAGATCTCCACCTTGTCCTCGTCCTCCTGCGAGGACTACATCATCGTCCTGCCCGACTGCTTCGACACCAATCGGCCACTGGGCGAGTCCATATGCAGCTCCGCCCTCTCGGAGCCTGTCACTACTGCAGCCGCGGAGCAGGAGGAGGAGCCAGACTCTGAGCCTGAGGAGCTGGACAGAGCCACCCCAGAGGGGGAGAGGCAAGAGGAGGCCGAGGCTGCAGCCACAGTCACGGAGGCCACCATCCACAGCAGTGTCAACCAGATGCTGTGTGCCTCCCAGACGCTGGATGCCGTGCCCCTTACCCCTGAGGTGGTGCCACCGCCCGTCCCTCTCCTGCCCCCACAGGGCATGTACACACACAGGTGAGAGGGCTCTCTGATGCAGTAGTAGACTATCAGCTTAGATATTACAGGAGACAATGATATCACGACAGATGATATGTTACTGTTCAATCACACGTTTGCAGTGTGATTTATTGAAGTGAAGTGTGCAAATTGTTCAGTATCTGCTGTAGGAGGACTATCGGAATCATACTATACTCTTGTCCACTGTCCCTTCTCTCTCCGATCAGTATATCATTATGTTTGGTGTGTTTTCCAGGTCTGAAGTAGTCCATGTTGCAGAGCCAACAAGTCAACAAGCGTCTGGACCAGTAGAACCATGCCAACCAGCGGTCCATTTCAATGGTGAGTGTTAGACACACACACAGGGCAGGTTGGAAAAGTGTCTACAAAAAACAGCCTTTTCACTGCATGAAGCAGACACAACATGTTTTGGAAGCTCTGATCACACAGTAAAATAATATGCTATTAACTAATGTGACTAGCAAGTCTTGTGTTTGTGCACTCATGTTTTTGAGGATGTGTTCACATCACTGTCTGCGGCTACTGGCCAGAAAGGAAACGTGTCTTTGGAGAGAGGGGAACAGCAAAATGTATTGACTGTTCTAATGGCTCTCTCTCTCTCATCCAGTATGTGTTCTCTCTTTTTCCCCCATCTATATTTCAGTATCTAGTCCAACCAGACCAGCAGACTCAGCCAGTGCCTTGGAGATGTACAACTCCAGACCCTGCAGCTCCATGCACCCAAGGTGAAACACCTACACAATATTAAAGACCCACTCCAGCCTCCCTAGTACCTCATTTGTAACTGTAAATGATAAAACCGCTATAAGTAGAAGATATTTAAAGACCTTTATGATGTGATATCATTGGTGATATAACAATGTGACATAACATCTCTTCTTGACACACGTTTTGTGGCATTTTGGGTCTTGTGAAAGCATTGCTAGCTCTAAACCACTGGCTCTGGAACAGATTGTTCCCCATAGTGGCTGACCACATCTTTCCTGTTCTATAGGGACCAAGGCGGTATCACAGAGGGACTAGTCAAGGGGGTTCTGTCAGTGGCAGCGTCTGCCTACAAGGCTCTCTTCCCTGGACATAGCTGCTCCACACAGGTAGGTCCCACATACAGCACAATACGCCACCTCGTCACACACTGCCATCAGATAAACTAGACTATGATAAATGGTTATAATATCATAAAGATTATAGTGATTATTACATACAATTGTGATAAAAGTTGCTAATCTATTTGAAAGCGCTTTTGGCTCAAAAGACCAAAGTGATGCATGTCTTCTTTTACAGTATTGTATGTACAGTATTATTGTATAAACCCTGTGCACTTTAACATGACAAACCAGAACTAACCTTTGACCTGGCTCCCCCACCCCCTTCACCACTGCAGCGTGGTGTGGACCCGGCCAGCCAGGACACCTCCATGATGGCCGTGCTGCTGGAGATGGGCTTCAGGGATCAGCGGCTCAACCAGTGGCTGCTGAGGAAGCACAAGCACAACCTGCTGCACACTGTCAACGAGCTGGTTGCCATGGCCGACAACGAATGGCGTGCCAACACGCACTACTAACTGGCCAATCAGCCGGGCCCCTACACGGCCCCTGACCTCTGACACCCAGTGACAGAGAGGGGTTTTCATTATGGCACTGATGTCAGGTCATGGGCCCTACCTATTGATAGGTTCAGGGTAGGTTCTATGTCCAAAGAGAATGGAGGTTGTGGGTATTAAATGTAATCAGAATTAGAAGTCGACTCTTCTTCATCGTGGATGGTATTGGAACAACTCTTGTTGTTTTGAAGGACTTACATGATTGATTCACAGGGGGATTTAATTACATAGGAACGCTAAAGAACTGAGATGTCAGATTCCTTTTGATTTCTCTTAGATATAGTAGTGAATCGGCTTAAACAATGCAATATTGTATGTATGTATGTATCAAAAGTACTGTTATTTTAGATGTTCGGGCCACAAGCAACATTTGACCTGTTGATTGTATAAGGAACAGACACTGCAGACTAAGGAAATAAGCTGTTTATTTTTAGGAGACACCTGCATGTCAGTTTTAAGCATATGAGTCATATACTTGTGGTACCATAGGACTCACAGCTATAAATGTAGGCACTGCATCACGTCCTCATTTTCCTCCTTTTACATTGTAAGAATCATCCTCTTTCATATATTTACATCATACAACACTACGTATAACCAACCATAACCTCTGTAAGAGACATTCCTAAGTTTGTTAATGGAACCAAGTTTCTCATAGTTTGTTTTTATGAACGGTAAATCCGTGAACGATTAATGCTTTACTATGGTGATTTAAGTGCATAGGTTTTAATCCTTGTAGGCCTATACTATGTCTGACAGTTCGGCCTGTCTATGTGTGTACTTTTCCTTTTAGAAAGAAAATAGAGGTTTGTAACTGGACACATGTTTGTGGTTGTGATATGTTCAAATGCTAACAGTTTAAAGATCATGCTTTCTAAAGAAATGCTGAATATATTAATTGTGCTTGCTAAAGGGGTCTCCTTTCAATCAGTTTGTAAGTACCCTGCAATTGTCAATCAGCCAATAAACAAATTGCACAATTCTCATTTAGTGGCTGAAATTTTGTATTTTCAATATGGCTGTTTGACTGGCACTGCTTTTTATGGGATTTATTGTATGGGTTTCTGTACATTTTGTGTCTGATGACTTGTTGAACTTAGGTTAACTTTAGTTAATGTGTACGGCACAAAAGAGTTGAAATGTAGAGAACAGAGGCTAACTGTCATGCTTGATGGTATTTTATTATGGAAGCACAGTTTTACAGCAAAAATTGGACTTCCCTCATTTGAGGACATAGAGGGTCTGGTTATCATCTAAACGGCATCAATACGCATTAAGCTGTCGGTGTTCACTTTTAGTCCTGCTTTCTCCCAAAATCATTCAAGACATTTTTGCCCTCTTCGCTACAGGCGATTATATTCGGTATAAATTAAACCTACTCATTGAGCAGACTATGTGCAGATTGAACTATTTGATAATAATTCCCTACAACTGAAATGAAGTATTCCCTTGTTTACCACAACAAATCTACTGTGGCAATTTACCCATGTTGGTGTTGGCTACTTAGAATTTATGTAAACCATGAATAACTTGTCTACAGGATTACAAACATCCAATGCAAGTCAATGGTACCTATATTAGCATTTGTGCGCTTCATGTCCACATCATTTATATGACTTCATTGAGCTAAACAATCAGTTTTAGATACAAGATGATTTGGACATAAATTATGAAAATGCTAATATAGGTACCATTGACTGCATTGGATTTGTGCCACGAATGCAAAAAAAGTTAGCATTTGAAACAGTGGCCAGGTTAACAAAACCAAAGCATGGATTGCGGTCATACCTTGTCCATAGACTGCTTGCAGGGTAAGGAAAGCAATATCTCATTTTATTGGGTTAACTATCCCTTTAAGTTCTACCCATTGGTTGCAATTGGCCAAGGCTGTTTCTTATGAAATTCCTTTCTATAGCCTTCTGTAGCTGTGGTTAGTGGAATACATAAAGATTATATTGAAATGGCTTTATAAAATATGTTCTACTTTCTCAAACTGGATGTACACTGAATTACTGGGCATTACATTGGCACTAAGGTATTACAACCTTGTTTGCAACTTTAAATAAGTTATGCTCAGTATCTTTAGAAATTGGACATTGGCTTACCGACTTCCATACATTGCTTTGGCCAAGTCTCTCTTTTTTTTTAGGGGGTATATCAGCTTTAATATTGCAGATAGATTGTAGCTTCCATCAATGTAATTGTCTGCATCACTTCCAATCCCCCATATATTTTTTTGCAAATATACACTACCGTTCAAAAGTTTGGGGTCACTTAGAAATGTCCTTGTTTTCCATGAAAACATACATGAAATGAGTTTGAATAGGAAATATAGCAAAATGAATAGGAAATGTAGTCATTGACAAGGTTAGAAATAATGATTTTTAATTGAAATAATAATTGTGTCCTTCAAACTAGGCTTTCGCCAAAGAATCCTCCATTTGCAGCAATTACAGCCTTGCAGACCTTTGGCATTCTAGTTGTCAATTTGTTGAGGTAATCTGAAGAGATTTCAACCCATGCTTCCTGAAGCACCTCCCACAAGTTGGATTGGCTTGATGGGCACTTCTTACGTACCATACGGTCAAGCTGCACACACAACAGCTCAATAGGGTTGAGATCCGGTGACTGTGCTGGCCACTCCATTATAGACAGAATACCAGCTGACTGCTTCTTCCCTAACTAGTTCTTGCATAGTTTGGAGCTGTACTTTGGGTCATTGTCCTGTTGTAGGAGGAAATTGGCTCCAATCAAGCGCCGTCCACAGGGTATGGCATGGCAATGCAAAATGGAGTGATAGCCTTCCTTCTTCAAGATCCCTTTTACCTTGTACAAATCTCTCACTTTACCACCACCAAAGCACCCTCAGACCATCACATTGCCTCCACCATGTTTGACAGATGGCATCAAGCACTCCTCCAGCATCTTTTCATTTGGTCTGCGTCTCACACATGTTCTTCGTTATCCGAACACCTCAAACTTCGATTCGTCTGTCCATAACACTTTTTTCCAATCGTCCTCTGTCCTCTGTCCAGTGTCTGTGTTCTTTTGCCCATCTTAATCTTTTCTTTTTATTGGCCAGTCTGAGATAAGGCTTTTTCTTTGCAACTCTGCCTAGAAGGTCAGCATCCCAGAGTCGCCACTTCACTGTTGACGTTGAGACTGGTGTTTTGCGGGTACTATTTAATGAAGCTGCCAGTTGAGGACCTGTGAGGTGTCTGTTTCTCAAACAAGACACTCTAATGTATTTGTCCTCTTGCTCAGTTGTGCACCAGGGCCTCCCACTCCTCTTTCTATTCTGGTTAGAGCCAGTTTGCGCTGTTCTGTGAAGGGAGTAGTACACAGCATTGTACGAGATCTTCAGTTTCTTGGCAATTTCTCGCATGGAATAGCCTTTATTTCTCAGAACAAGAATAGACTGACGAGTTTCAGAAGAAAGTTATTTGTTTCTGGCCATTTTGAGCCTGTAATCGAACCCACAATTGCTGATGCTCCAGATACTCAACTAGTCTCAAGAAGGTCCGTTTTATTGCTTCTTTAATCAGCACAACAGTTTTTAGCTGTGCTAACATAATTGCAAAATAGTTTTCTAATGATCAATTAGCCTTTTAAAATTATAAACTTGGATTAGCAAACACAACGTGCCATCAAAATCAGCCGTTTCCAGCTACAATAGCCATTTACAACGTTAACAATGTTTACACTGTATTTCTGATTAATTTGATGACAAAAAAGTGCTTTCTTTCGAAAACAAGGACATTTCTAAGTGACCCCAAACTTTTGAACGGTAGTGTATATACATTATCAGTCAAAGGTTTGGACACACATACTCATTCAAGGGTTTTTCTTTATTTTTTACTATTTTCTACACTATGAAATAACACATGTAATAACCAAAAAAAGTGTTCAACAAATCAAAATATATTTTATATTTTCGATTCTCCCAAGTAGCCACCCTTTGCCTTGATGACAGCTTTGCACATTCTTGGCATTCTCTTGGCAAACTTTCACAACAGTTCTTAACCTATAACCTATATACGTTTCACAGACATAGTATGTTTTATATTAGTTATCTTGTTGTTATTATTTGTTATTTGTCCCAACCTTCAGCTCCATTCAACCCCTCCCATCTATCTCTTAACACCATCCATATTGGATTTCTATTTGCCATATATTTTTCAACTGAGGCTGTGATGTTTCACAAAAGTTCTGAACCTTTCTATTCTCATTGTTTCTACAGATTGTAAATTGAAAATAAACATTTTTGCTAAAAGTATTATTATATTATTGATCGATTGACTATGACTTTTCAGATCACCCAGTAGTGCTATCTGCAGGGTTAGTTCCAGGTAAATTTTGCAATTCCTCAGCCATTCCTGGACCTGTGACCAAAAACAAGCTACATATGGACAGTACCCAAACAAATTATCTAATGATTCTGTCTCTTCGCTGCAAAATGTGCAGAGCTGGGAAGGTTGTATCCCCCATATAAATAACATTTTATTGTTTATTTATCACAATTTTCTTTAACCAATTAACGTCTTTAATGCAGGGCAGACAGACAAGTTCCTTACATTTCCCCCCTTCCACTTTCCTCTTCCATTTTTGCAGTAATGCTGCAATTAGTTGTTTGTAATTTTGGGTAGAGCAGACATTTCTATATGTTTTTGTTAGCTGCATGTGCGACATAACTGCATAACTATGATATCATTTACGAAAGATTTTACCTTTTTAAAACATTTTTTCAAAAATATATTGGTTTTTTGTCAATTAGTATATTTGAATTTAACCACAATATTTGTTGTATTATTTGTTCTTTCGTTTCTGGTGGATGAAATTGAAATTGCAACCAACTTTCTATGGCTTGTTTTAGAAATAGTGATATTTGAGAGATGATTTCCATTTCAAATAACTGAAAGTGCGAGATTGTAATCTGAATGAAGTGAAAAAGGCCTTTCTTG